TTCTCCGTTCCTTCTCTCATTCCGTTTGTTCCTCACTGGAAAAAAAAAACACATTGGATACTCTAGAGAACATTGAAAAGAAAGAATACTCTTGATTTAATCAGATTTAAGCTAAAATCAAAAGGAAATCCGCTCAAATTTAGAGGCTTGGTTCTTGATTTAAGCAAAAATCCGATTGAATCAAGAGTATTTTTTCTTGTCGGTGTTTTTAAGAGTTTGGACTCTAGATACAATGTGTTTTTTCCCAGTGCTTGTCGAACCAATAATTCCTCGGTTCATTCCAGATTATAAATTGTAATTGGTGAAAATGTAATCTTTATTCCCGTTTGTGACACTGAGGAGGCCTGAAATACGGGACCCAATCAGAAATGGATTCACATTGTTTCAACTCTGAGTATAAAGGGACTTTACTCAAAGGGGCGTGTTTGTGGTTTCCTTAAATACCCCTTTCCCTGAGACGCCTCATCGAGGGCTAAGGGACAATATCGCCGACCTGACAATTTTGACGAAAATGAGTTAGGGATTTCTAAGCGTTGAATTCTACGGTATAGAATATGCAAGCTGATGTTTTTGGTTTTTCCCATTTCACATGGGAGCGCTGTGTAGACACTGTAATGTTTTGAAATATGCAAATCTGACCAGAAAATTACAAAAATGGCGAAGTTCCTTCTTTCCTCTGGAGAATCGTTAGTTTGCAAAGAGGCGGTAGTGTTTCTCAGCCATCGATATGGCGTACATTGTGATTAAGGGAAGCTCAAGTAGAAACAGTACAATTTTTTGCGATCCTTGAATTGAATTTAGCAGTATAACATTGAACAGAGATTCTTGCAAAGGGTTACAATGACAAAGCATCACAAAAATACAAAAAAAAATTGATTTTGATATTAAGCTTGAAATACGCTATCGCATTCCAAATCTACTGATCAGCGCCAGTGTTCATTTATGTAAATGGAACAAAAACGAATGTACACCGGCAGCCCAAAACGGAAATAGTAGAAAGAAAACAAGGAAACAGTAGAAACAAGGCGAAAATACATAAACGACACAATTATCAACCGCTAAAAAAGTACAAACATGCAAAAGAAATTGAAATTAAAAGAAACCAACACGGCGTTACACGGTGTAATGTTGGTGTTGGGTCCTCCATTAACAACACCATGTTACGCCGTGCTCGTTTCTTTTAATTTTAATTTCTTTTTTGTTTTTGTACTTTTTTAGCGCTTGATAATAGTGGCGTGAGACACCTAAACGTCCCATGTATTTTTATGCATTTTTATGGCCAGGTTTCCTTGTTTCCTTTTTATGTAAATGTAGGAACTCTCAAAATGTGGCAACATTTCTATTTTCCTCGTTCAGCTGTACAAGTATTCCACCTCATTCCATACGAAATGATGCTCTTCCACACGTTCCCCAAAATCCGGTCGATCATCCCATAAATAAACAAACACGGATTCCTGGAATAAAATGGAGGAGTCGAGCAAGAAGGGAACTAACAATTTCCTTCATTGCATTTGCTTTCAACCGACCCATTGTATCTTTGTGTGATGGTACAGTGGTTCAAGTAAACGAAATCCTCCTCTGCTTAACCGCACTTGAAAAAGTCAATAAACTAAACTTTTTTATCTTGAGTAAAGGAGAACCGCATCTAGGTATTCTTTCCCTATCTTCGTCGGAAAAACACTGAACTACAAATTGAACGTATTTCTGCCAAACGGAACTATGTACATCAGGACATGAGCCCCGAGACTCACAAGAATGTATGCATAACAGGGCTCAAGTTATAATGCACATAGTTCCGTTTGCCAGAAATACGTTCGATTGTTGGGTTGAAATATAAATCGAACGCGCTTTCCTACACGGAGAAAAAAAAACCTCGTGCGTGGGACTCGACGTTTAGGTCATATGAATCTCTGAAGTTTTCGGACTGAGCATCTGAACACTTTAGGTTCAGCTGCTGAGATTTGGATCACACATCTGAAACTTCAGTTCTTACATCTGAAGTACTTCAGATGTGAGAACCGACGTTTTTCAGATGTGAGAACCGAAGTTTTTCGGATGTGAAAACGGAAGTACTTCAGATGTAAGAACTAAAGTTTCAGATGTGTGATCCAAACCTCAGCAGCTGAACCTAAAGTGTTCAGATGCTCAGTCCGAAAACTTCAGAGATCCATATGACCTAAACTTCGGGTTCCACGCACGAAGTTTTTTTCTCCGTGTAAATTTGATACGAGCTATAGACACCGATAATCGCTGTTAAAATTACATTGTTTTTTAACACAAAATATTCGGGGTTAATGCACACTTCACCATTCATAAGACTTGATACGGTTCAAAAAAAAAACAAGAAACAAAATTATTTGAGTCTCTGTGCTCTAATTGGACTAAATTTTGCAAAGGAGAACAACTACTCGTACTTCTGACTATCCAGTGAAGCACCTAACTGCAAAGAAAAACTATAATGGTGCATACGTTCTTCCTAAAATTAGAAAAAAAAACAGTAGTTCCTTATTGCGAAATTAAGTCCAATTGTATGCATTGACGCTTAAAAAAACTCATCACACATAAACAATAAAACACGCTAATTTTTTACCACAGTTTCTTTCAATTGAGTTAATTTTAATTCTTTTTCGTATAAGTAACCCAATTTGAATTCAAATGAATTATTCAATACATTTCTGCTGAACGCTGATAATTGTGATGAAGGGTACAATGCTGGAGGTAAACAAATGCTCAAACAGGGGTTGATGCTGCTACTACTTTACCATTAGCCATGAAAAAAATGAAATGAGACTAAAGGAACGTGTTCAGTGGATTAAAACGAGACTTTTTGGTTAATGAAATTTCATTTTCCATCCGTGGGCTGGACTGCATGTCGAGAACACGCTCCTGCAAAGCAGCCGTTTAACCGTTGGTTACACGCGCTGGTGCACGTCCTGCAATTGGACTATTTTTTGCAAATGGGAACTACAATTTCCGGCTCATCCGTAAAAACACTTATGTTCATATGGAAACTGATAGTAAATACGTTGTCTCTAAAGTGAGCTAGAAATTTTAGTTCCTAATTGCAAAATGCAGTCCATTTGATCTAATCGTGTAAACAAGCGAGCAAACATACAAATAGAGTACGGTCATTTTCATACCGGTTTTTCATTGGTCACCAAAAAAGGCTAAAGCGGTGTTTATGTTTTTGGTTAGATTACCACTGGTTGGATTAGATATTGTAGAGACGGCTGCATCGCGGTCGCTCTCAAACCGAATATAGACAAGTGCCAACTGGACGTATTTCTTTCAAACGGAACTATGTGCGATGAGACATGAGTCCTGAGATCCGTAAGAATATATACATAACAGGGCTCATGCCTCAATGCACATAGTTCTGTTTGGCAGAAATACGTCCAACTTAGATTACGACACGTCTAGGAGCGTTCGTTTATACTTATAGCCGTAAAAGCATCATGATAGCCTTGAGGTGATTCGATGGACGCCACATTTTGTGTCAGAACGACATGCTGTATATCGCATAAATTGGTTCCATTATTTCAGCTAATCGTCATTTTTATCGAAGTTTAAGATCGCAATTCTGTTGTAAAAAGACTAAAAAATTGACTTACCAATTTTGACAAACAAATTCAACGCCATAGAGGCGTGGTTTTTCTAGAGGAAAAATATCGCATTCGACACAAATATCAGAACTGCACTCGATTGCGATATTTTTCCTCTAAAAAAACCACGCCTTTATGACGTTTAATTTGTTTGTCGAAATTAGTAAGTGAATTCTTTAGTCCCCTGATATCAGAATTGCGATCTCAAAATTCGATAAAAATTATGAGCAGCTGAAAAACTGGAACCAATCGATGCGATTTATCGCATGTCGTCCTGACACAAAATATGCCGTCCATCGAATCCCACGGAAAAAAATAGATGGTGCTGACGACAGAGCCTTCCGTTCACAGAGCTCATGCAGTTTCTTTGTTACACTTACAGAATTTTTCTGGTGTGAGAACAGAACTTCGGTCGTGCGTGGGAACAGAATACTCCGTCCTCATAACGGAAGCTTATGTGACTATTACAAAAGAAGTGCAGGAATCCTGTGAACAGAACTATTTTTTTCAGTGCACTTTAAGATCGGAGACCAATGAAAAAGCGGCACAAGTTTCCTGTAGATAGGTAAATTTCCTGTAAAAAGATAGGAATGGCCGCACTGTATGTACACGGAGAAAAAAACTTCTTGCATGGGACCCGAAGTTGAGGTCACATGGATCTCTGAAGCTTTCTGATCACGCATCCGAAAACTTGAGGTCGAGCTGCCGAAGTTCGGATCAGACATCGAGGCACTTCGGTACGTACCGGAGTACTTCAGATGTGTGATCCGAGCCCATCGGTATACATCGAAGTACTTCAGATGTCGGACCCGAACTTCGGCAGCTGGAACTCAAGTTCTCGGATACGTGATCCGAAAACTTCAGAGATCCATACGACCTCACCTTTCGGGTCTCACGCACGAAGTTTTTTTCTCCGTGTACACTGAAAAAAAATTCTCGGCGTTTTTACCAAGGTCCGTTAGTACCTTTACCATCTCACTTTTTTTTACCGATTATTGGTAATTTTACCAAGACAGACTGGTAAGCTTACCTAAAAACCGGTATTTTTACTGTTTTCCCAAGTAAGAATACCACTTTTATCGGTAATCAATTCCTGGTAACTTTGCCATTTTATCTCGGTAATTCTACCACAGTCGATAAAAAATATTGGCGTTTTTACCAAGGCCCAGTAAAATTACCGAGAAAGTTCAATAGTTTTACCGAGTTTCTTGGTAAAATTACCAATTCCATAATTGGTAATTTTACCAAGAAAAAACTGGGATCAAATAGAACCCTGAATTCTTGGTAATTTTACCCTTTTCTTAGTAAATACGCCGAGATTTTTTTTTCAGTGTAGGAATGGCCGTGCTCTGTCTATATAGACTCAAGAAAGAGAGTAAGTAGCTGTATGGAACGTACGTATCAGCGGAGTCCTTGGTTCGTTGTCGCTCGAGGAAGCGGGCGGCGATAGTCCTGGAATCGTCACCGAAGCCGTAGAGTCCGGCCACAGCAGCCATCCGCACCGGCAGGGGCTCTGTCGCTCATCGGATGCGGCACTCCGGGCAGCCACGGCTTCTCAACCCCGCCGATTCAAATTTCCCGCCACGCACTTCCGCATGACCTCACCATGTCTACATAGCCTCGCTTTTGTCCCAAAACTACGTCCCGGGTTCCATCAGCAGCGGTGTCACTGCTTCACGCAAGGATAACGCATTCTCACAATCCGTCACTTCAGTATCTGCACAATATCGCTTTATCTCAATCGCTCAGGTGAGCAGTTTCGTCGCGAATCAGTTTTTGAAAAGACCTACACTTTCAGTTGGACGTATTTCTATTAAACAGATTTGAATCAGTGAGTTCGAAAACACACCAACTCGGTAACTCGAAAGTGCTCGATTTTCATATGAGACGGTCAATTTCTACAAAAGTCAGTAAAGTTAGCGCATCTGTTCCAACTTGGACCTTTAAAATACCCTCAAATGCTTGTATTTTGGCACCGAAAATCTCATTCTTAGAATAATTTCTTCATTTACTTTTCGGTTTCGTGTGTGCCTTGATTCTTTTCATTTTTCCGAATTGGTGTGTTTTCGTTCTCACTGATTCATTTATGTTCTTAGCATCAGGTAATGGAGCTTACAAGAGTTTGAATATCCACCATTCATTTGTAAATTACAGTGTTTTTGTAAGATTCCGCAGTTATTTTATCTAAATCGAGTCCTTTCTACATATAATTGTCGTTACTGTTGATACTTGTTATACAATTTAACTGTCATACAAACACGCAACATGCCTTTTAACGATCACAGTCAAGATGCTTATTTTCATTAAAAGTGTTGGTATGCTCGTAAAAAGCAATCGCTTTCTAAAACCTTAACGCCCCTGCACATATAGGGCTCTCTGCTTTAAAATTTTCAATTTCTAGCACAATTTTTTTTCGTGTCTTATATTCTTTGAGAACGCAAATCATCGAAATCTCTTGTGATGATTAATTTCCAATGTTAATGCAAGATGACGAATTTTCCTCGAGTACTTTGAAAATGGACAAATGGATAAGGTACATATTTAAGCATTCTGATCCATTTTTTTAACTAGAATTTTATGGAAAACAGGATTCACGCTACGAAATTTACTGAAGTTAATATTCGGAGGAATATGAATCGCTTTCTTATTCGGCGCCCGAGGGCCGGAGGTGTCAGCTTGTTTGCTTTTTTTCTCTGATTTTTGTTTTGCTGATGGTTTATTGGATTCGCGTCCCATCACCTGCAGCCAACTTTCGAACGATACACATTTTCTCGCCCAAGCGCTACGCTCTTGACCATACTCGCCAAAATGAAGTCCTACCCACATGACAACGCCTGATGAGTATGCAACCAGACGAGCCCGAAGAAACAATGGATAATTACGCGCTAAGTTGGTGCGGAGAACTCTCAAGTGGGCGGGCGCCGGCGCTGAGTCTAGAGGGGACCGGCGGTTGGGGGGGGTGGGTTGCTGTGTGTTGTTGATGCATAAACTTCCTGATTTGGCGTCTTTTTTTTAGCTTTTCCGGCTCTCGGGGATACTGGAGGGCGGAAACGCCGAGTTACGCGGGGCGACCCCACCTCCACTCGCGCAACATGCACAATTTCCCGGCCGAAACAAAACGCCCCCCCCCCCCCCCCTCCGCCCGGCCCGCCACGACGCTAACCACCCGGGTTGCGGTTTTTCTTTCGTCGTGAGTTTTCGCGCCATTGCCCCCCGCGAGAGAAAATTAGGCCGCGTTGTCGCGTCGGGGGCTCCTTCTGAAAATCGACTGCGGTTTGCTATTCTGCCAAGCTAAGGAAAAACGCCGTAGGAACATTCAAGAGTTGCCAAATTTCCCTCAGTAAAATATTCATTTTTTTAGGAAAGTAATCAATATTTTTCCTTGAAATTTTCAAAAACAGTAGGTGAAATTGGAAATAACATTATCTGAAAAATTGGAAGAAAAATATGCATAAGTTTACCAGGAAATTCGTGTATTGGAAATAGAAATTTGGCAACGCCTGAAGGTTTATAAGGCGCTTTTCCTTAGCACGGCAGTATTAGGATCAACTATTTGGACAGCTTTCAGCAGAAAGAAACCAAGGCATATTAGCCATTGCCGAATCGAGTTGGGCAATTTAATTGTTTACGAGGGAACGTTTGTGCGGATACTTTTGAAAATATTAAGGGATGCGCTTCGCACTGGGCAGAAGATTTACTGACATTTGCACAAAATTCCGCACAACCGTTGTCATGTAAAAAAATAAATTGCCTTATTAAATTTGGAAATGGTCAATGTGGCATGGTTCATTTCTGCTTCACGCGGTCCATTCTTAGCTCGTCCCTGAAAACATCTATCAGCGTAGGGATAAGAATCGAAGTGAGGAAGGGAGTGAGCTGACCGTAAGAGGAAGAATATGTCTATATGGGTAACGGGATAAGACTGAGGGGGAGGGGGGTAAAGTTCGAGCAGATGCATTGCGATGTAAAATTGGGGTCTATGACATTTTGGGTCTTATTAGACCTCAGGGACCTTCCCTAAATTTCGTAACGCTAAATTTGCAGGCGGAACGCTACGCTACGTACCGCTAAATTTGCAGGCCGGAAGGCGACGGCGTGGACGTCCTGTGAAAGGTTGGCGGGAATAAGTGGAGAAGGAGATCAGAAGGTGCCAATGGACCACTAGACAGGGTATACGAATTTCAGCATTCTAATACATGTTTCATGACCAAAATTTTACGTAGAACACGATGCACACAACGAAAATGACCGAAATCAACTCCCTACGAAGATATTCAATTATTCTTGATGCGTGAATTCAAACCATCCGCTCATGAAAACTCAATGCTCTGCGCTAAACGTTATCATGACAGTCTCTGCAATATAAAAATCTGGCAACCTCGATCTGGACGCTTTGGCTCAGCTATAGCAAATTGCTTATAGTTTGAAAAACACATGGTGGGAAATGAACATTGCTCGATTGAGAAGCTCGCTAAAACCGTTGTAGTGCGCGATTTGACTCACGTAGAGCTTGGAGTTTCTTGTGAGCGGGGGGCTCAACTTCCTCGTAACCAATGTAAAATAAAAACGTTGATATCTTCGTTAGGAGTTAGTTTCAGTAATATTCGTTGCGCTAATCGTGTTCTACGTGAAATTCTGGTTAAGAAGCATGTATCAGATTGCTTAAATTCGTACCTTGTCTAGTGGTCCATTCGAATCATTCCGGGCCCTGATGTAGCGCCTTCGACATCGTGAAATACTTCCAACGCTACATCATTACGCACACGTTCCGACATGCAAATTGCCTATACTGTGCCTGCAAGAGTATATGTATTATGCAGGTACTCAGCGTTTGGAGGTGTTCTGCCGTGCTAAAGAAAAACGAGCCGTTGGAACCATATGAAATGAACCGTATGGAAGTTGCCAAATTTCCGTACATAAAGCTTCATTTTTGGGTAAGTTTATGAATATTTTTCATTGAAGTTTTCAGATGCTGTGGATTAAAATGCGAAATAAATTCTTTGAAAATTTGGGAGAAAAACGTCCAAATTTTTTTTGGAAACTTTTATTTTATCAGAAAAAGTTTGGAAAAGTCTGAAGGATCATACGGCGCATTCCCTGAGCACGGCAGTGTACCCTGTCAACCCGTGATCTACGGATCGGTCGATTGGGCATATTCTGCACGCTAGTCGGCATTGGTGGGTCCAGAAAATTGGCAACATTGTTTTTCTCCATTTAAACCTATGGAAATGTATCGATTTATGGAAGGGCCAGGTGCTCCGACAAGAATCGATTATTTAACATAGGTTTAAATGGAGGGAATCCGGTGTTGCCAATTTTCTGGATCCGCCTCTGCTAGTCGGATTATCGGAGGGAAATTTCGCCGTACTCGGCAACGCCCCGCGAAATGAGGGCTATTTGTCAGACACTTTCCGCGGCCAGTGCATATTCGCACACCGGGCGGTTCGTGGGTGAGGTCGAGTGGGAGGGGGGCGGGAAAGGCGCTGAGTGCGGAGTGCGTGCGACACGTTTCTTTCAGATTAACGAACTCACTAAGAAACGCGTTACGGCGTTAGACGACGTTATCACGACTCGCCTCCCACGGGGCTCCGTCTCAAAGTTGCCGTGCACCGTCATTTCCCGGACGAGGGAACGTCACCACATTTCAACGGTTCTGTGTTCCCACTTGTACACAGTGAAAAAGTGTAACATATATCGTGGAGTTTGACTTTGTCGTGACGTTAGAATTCCGGACGCAGACGAAATAACGTCCACTGGAAAAAAAAAACACATTGGATCTAGAGTCCAGACTTATAAAAACATCGACAAGAAAAAATACTCTTGATTCAATCAGATCTAAGCTTAAATCAAGAACCCTGCCTCTTAATTTGAGCTGATTTCATTTTGAATTAAGCTTAAATCTGATTGAATCAAGAGTCCTTTTTCTTGTCAATGTTTTCAAGAGTCTGGATTCTAGATCCAATGTGTTTTTTTCCGGTGTTGACTGTAGGGGTAGACAGACGTTTTCATTTCAGGAAGTTCTGGACCTTTACTAAATGCGACGATTTTCTGAATGATAATTCACTGATTTTTGTAATGATTATGCAAAAAAATCAGCAAAATTTTGGACTGAAATCGCAAAAACGTATTCTTGTGAAGAAATGAATTTTTCAAGTTAATCTTGCACCATTGTTTTGAAGATACATCCATCAGTCTCTGAAAAAACGATGAAAATGGTGCAACTAAAAAACCCCATACGGCAGATTTTGGGTAAAAATTGGTTATTCTTGGAGAGATGGTAATTATTCCGGGTTAAGAAAGAGAAAACATGTGATTTCATCGTGCGCTGTAAAAAAATCGGTAACTTCACTGTAGTGTCGATAGTTTTTCAGTGTCCAGAAAAAGCTACGGAAAGTATGTAGAATCCGGTTCAAAACTTTTTATCATTTCATCTTGTGATTTTTCGACATGTCTGACAAAGCGTTTTTTTTTTTTTTTTTTTTTTTTTTTTTTTTTTTTTTAATTCGCTTTCTGTACAGAGAAATTAGAATAGTTAGATCTTGAGGAGGAAAAAATTCTTTGTGCTTTACTCGTGCCTTGTCTAGTGATCCTTTCAATGGAAATCTTTTCAAGCTCCATACCAGATTGTTGATTAGTAACAATAGTGGATTTTTCAAATGAAAAAAGATTGGCCGGGTTTGGCGAGCTTGAAACTTGACCACTGCGCGCTTTCCTTGATTCTGCTTTGTGTGAATGCAATTGGACGTATTTCTGCCAAACGGAACTATTTGCATTGAG